CTTTTTGCCACCTTTACTTCACTTGGTATGACATGCTCTACCTCTTTTATGCAGATTTTGTCAGTAGCCATCACTCTGAAGAATTCCTTCTTCTGCTGCCACCTACCAGTTTATCTCCCTGCTGCAGCAGAAGGTATACAGAAAAGGTTCTTGCTTTTACTATTCAGATTAAACAGAGTAATTCTTTTATTTAACATTTTATTTTTCACATGTACATAAACTTCCGCACTGCTTCCCCAAGGCCTCCCTGTCCAAATCCAAGACAACAGAAATCCCGATCAATGAAAATTAAACAATGTGTGAACAATGTTCATGCTAAGCTGGGAAAATAAAAAAGAAGGTACAAAGATTTAGACACTCAAGAGTTGCTATCTCAAGGAGCTGTTTCTTTTCATCATACTTTCTTTCCTCATTTATCCCTATAATCTTATGAATAAATGCATAACTTAAATTTGAACTACGTAGTCTACAATTCCTGCAAATTTTATGTTCAGAGACGAACAAAAGAATTGTGGAAGATGCAGCAATAAAAAAGTTTTTAAAAGTAATTCTAGAAACTAAGGGTATTAGGTGCTTTACCTGCTTGAGTTTTCAATGTTCTGGACTGCTTATTGCCCAATGGCTCTGAATACATTAAAACACGAACACATACGCCACCTACATTTAAAATAGGGTAGCATTTGTATGCCCATATAAGCATTGGGTATACTTTTTGCAAGATAGTAATAAATTCATTAAATCCTTTTAAAAGAACTGACCACAAATGCACAATTCCTCAAACTGTATACATACATAAAAGAATTAGGGCAAAAAAGCATAACAGAATGACAAATGTAACACCAGTTGTAGAACTAGAAATTAACACCACATTAATGTTTTGTTTGTTAAAATCCTGATATTCATTTCTATTCCCATGCTCTTTGTCATTGGAGGTCTAGGTTTCAAATTTATTCTGTATTAGTTACTAAAGAACAGTATCCAATATTGAACTAGTAATAATAGTAAGGGCTTGTTTTTGTTCCACCCTCCCACTACCTTTACTCCAAAATAAAAATATGTACAGTTTTGCAAACTTAAAAAATAAAACAAACACTGACATAAGTATCAAAGGCCAGTCAACAGTGGCACTGCAGTGACATTGCTTCTACTTTCTTATTCCTTCCCCCATCTCAAACCCCACCCTTTGACCTCTGTATATGGGATGAGCCTGAGCAGGCGAGTTGGTGATGTCAGGACTGCGCCGTTCCCACGGATGATCCTAGAGGCCTGCTGTGCTTCTGGGAACTGGGGCACAGGGATGTCTGTCTGACTGAAACCTAAAACAACAACAATTCACCCCACCCCTCATGTTCCCAAACCCCACAATAGCAGCCAGGTATATAAGCTGTATATGGCCCACCTACTAAGTGATTATGATAAAATCTACAATCAAGACCATTCTTATCAAGTCAGTGATCTTCATGGGGGCAGCAGAACACAGGGTGCTAAATTCTCTGTGTCCCATGCAGTCTACACATCCTAAAGCTGGCCATTCTTATTAACAAGGGAATTAGATTCTCCTGTACAAGCCTTTTGCAGTATACACCCTAAATTCCTACAGGAATGGAGGTAGGATTCCTTTGTTATTAAATTTCTGTTCAACAGACAAATGTCTTAAAATGCTTAGGGAAGTTTCTGTTCCTATCTTATAGGAATGAAATAAAGCACAAAACAGGTTAATGGTTTATTTTATGCCTTTGGCTGTAGAAACATTGTAAGCCAGGATTTCCTACTCACTAACTAGTGATTTATTGGACTTACAATCTCTTTGGATAAGACATCTAAAGTCACAGGATAAAATTATGGAGAAGTATATCCTGAAAAGGTCCTGACCACCTGTCATTAAAATTCTATCTATCAGAAAGAGGATTATCTTCCAAAATGATAACTCATATCAGAGCTAAAACTTTAGGAAGGACAGGAAAAAGGAGGAAAGGGTAACTGGATTGGAGTACACAAAGGAGGGGATGATATATTAAGAAACAGGAAGGTCTTTAAAAGGACAAGTTTTATCCCTATTCCTGCCACTAACTTTATGGCCTTTGTTAATCTGCTTAACAATCTTGTACTGCAGAAATGCCTTCTAATGTGTTCAAACCTATTATTTTTTCATGTCTGAACCATTATTTTATGATAATCTCAAACTATTTCACATCTATCTGTTAGCACTCGTGTCTTAAATGTTAAAATAATTAGTTCTGAAATCATGCTGCTCTTAAAATAATCAAAATGCTTTCTTCTGTCTCTTCATTCCCTTTCACTTTTATGATGTCACAGAAAGAGGTACACTCAAGTCAACTGAATGCTATCGTGAGTTACCATATATATATATATATATATATAACCTAGAACCTAGTTTTACCTTTTTAAAACTCTAGTTTTCCATACCTGTCAACTCCTAATTGATGTCTTTATACTGTGAGCTCACTGTGTACTCGAACACCAACCCCTGAAAAAGCTTAAGCCAGAGTAGCACAATGGAAGAAACAAACAAACCCAAAACAAAAACAAAACCAAAAAGTCACACTCTGAAATACTTAATTATAGACATATATGCAAGGAATGGAATTATCTACATGGTTTAAGCACATACCCGATGAAGTCCTGAGTTCATCCCAACCAATTCAAACTTTATCCCCAAATGTTCTTTAATCAAATTATTTGCTAGATATAGTTTTTTTTTAAATGAGAGCTATTACAAACCCATGGTTACCTTTAAAGTACGTAAAGAAATTTTTAAAAAGGAAAATAAAGTTAGCCTTGTGATGGAAAGAAAGGATAAAGAATCAAATTACCTGCAAACAGGCTGGGGCTGTGCCTGAATCCAAACCGCTGCATTTACCATTCATTATACAGCTGCATTATTGGGGGAAGGGGAGTTTAGAAGGGCACTGACCCCAAAAGTTCTCAATACTTCTCACTCATCATCAGGAAGGGGGAAGAAGGAAAGTTTTTTCTCTGGGTATTTGTTTGTTTGTTTGTTTTTGTTTTTTTGGCTCCTGAAAAGGCTGGCAAAGAACAGTAACAGTAAAAGCAGTTAGAATATATCTTTAAAAACAATTTAAAAAATGCAAAACATTAAGGAATTTGAAACACCAAACTTTTCATTAATATAGAAAGAAATTTTCACTAGAGTTAGGCAGCCACCCCAAAACATCATGGCAAAATGGCATTGGTATAAAATGAAATAAAATATCACACAAAAATTCAAAACAAAACTTAAAACTTCAAATTAAACCTGTAAGACTAGAAGATTCCAACAGCAGATTTCTGTCCACTACCGAAACATTCCAAAATCCAAGCTTCAAAGGTGCCTAAATGTATCTTAAATAAAACTTTGTTTCTTTTAAAGAAAAAAAAGGCAATAAACCTGATTATAAATCCTGAAATATTACATTTAAAATATCCTAGTACAACAAAAACAAATTTTAAATGAAATTAAACAAACAAACAAACAAATAAAAACAGTAGCAGCAGAGGTTACCTGTCTGAGCACCTACATTTTCTTAGGAGGGGATCGTGTCTCACCAGCCATATAGCCCATTAACCTTCTCAAAAAGAGTGAGCCAGGAGAAAATAACACAAGATTTGATTTCACAAGGTCTCTAGGCTCCCCAGGCCCCAAATTGGGGATTCACTGAATGAAGAGAATTTGTTTTTCCATTTTCTTCTTGAGAAAAAGAAGAGATGATTCTGCAAGTCAATTATCTTTCAATGCCTTCGATAACTTCTCAGAAGTCTGATAAAGTGCTTGATGAAAGCAAGTCTCTTGATGGATTTTTATAATGTTCCACGATATTTCTTATTGCTAACATATACAGAAAGATTTTAAAGTTCAGTGGAGTAAAAGCCAGCAGAAATGACCAATCAATTATAGGCACCAAAAAAAAAAAGAAACTATTAAAAATTTTAAATGGAACAGTTCATATTTATGTGTGTGTGTGTGTTGGTATAAATATAGTCCAGTTTTCATTAAGGGTAACATAAAAACAGTATCAGAAAGAATTATTTTTAAAATACAATTCAGAATTACAATTTTAACAATACACAATAATTTTACAATAGTTCAGATTTTGGCATGATAATGATTATATATTTAACACATTTTACCTCTCATAATAGCAATAAAGATTAAACATAAGTTATTAAACAATATGAAAATAAATTTAACTTTCACTTAAATATCTGGGCTGTTTTATTTGGGTTCTTCCAGAACAATTTGTTCATATTATTTACCTTAATTTTTGAAGGAATTCAGGCAGATATTCATGTTTTTAGTCTAAGATGACCATATCTCCCCTTCTCATTCTAACACTTGAGTGTGTGATCCAGAAATAGTCTGATAACGCTATGATTTAATATAATGTGAACGCACACAAGTTGCATAGTGAAAAAAACTAAAGGTGAAATAATCTGATATTTCTTATAACATAACTGGTTAATTTGGTAAAAATTTTTAAAAGGCTATCTACATTCTTCCTGGTGCCTATCCCACCCAACACAAACCTTGAGTTCTTCATCAAATAGAGAAGTTTCTATTTGTGTTTTCAAATTCATTTATCTATATACATGTGATATGTAACTACTCAAAGTATATGTAACATAATTTAGGAGGCAACCAGATGGTCTCTACAGAAACATATGAATGATGCTTTAATTAAGCAGTTCTTTCTCCCTCATTTATTTCTCTATCCCAAATACTATATACATCCTCCAAAGTATGGTCATTCAGTGAGAGAAGTACCAAGTCTTTCTATTAATGAGTCAACAGGTACTTATGTATGCAAATCCCACAATAACCCTGTGCAAGTCAAATTCTTTTAAATGAGATTAAAATATCCTAAAATAAATCAGAAACTCCTCTCATGTATCTTTTTCTCAGTTGAAATGAAACACTGCACAGAAGTACTATTCTAATTGTCAACAATCAACCTTTCACTCAATTTAATATTATTTAATTCTATGGGGAAAAACAAATTTTATTACATTCCTTTAAAACAGGGGGAAAACTGTACAAGTAAGCATGATCAAACCTCTGTTAGAGTTGGTTAATACTGAGCTTTTATTATTGCCTCGAAGTCTCTCTAGCAGTGTCCAAGAAATTAAGTTTAAGGTCCATCTGAAGGAAAAAAAGCACTGGAGAGGCTAGAAAGGACTTGGGTAAAAGCTTCAGAGGATTGTAGGGAGATGAAACTTGCTGTTTAAAAAAAAAAAAATTACGTTGCGCTCTGGAGCATCTCCATTTCTTAATACACCTTCTAACCCATCACTGGGATCGTTTTAACCATGCTGTAAAGGCTCATCTTATGTGCAGTTTTGGGCTTTTATAAATCCACAAAGTAAAGGAATATAAATGGTGGAGAATACTGAGGGCTTCAGAGTAGGGCTATAAGAGACTCAATATTGCTAAGTCCCCAAACAAAAATGCCCAGCCTAACCCACCCTAAAACCTGTGTGTAATAGGAGAAAACACACGGCCAGAAGCACTGAAGAAAAGCATGTGGGCTTGAATAAATCATACAATGAACAGTCTAGAAACAGAAAAAAAATCAAACATACACACAAAAAAGGCCTAAGAAGCATCTATTTTCCTTATGTCTTCAGGTGAATACCTCTACCCCAATGGAGAATAGTTATAAAAGCAATGAATCTGTTTTTTTTAAATAAAAAAAAAATGTGTATCCCATCATGCTCCATTTTCTAAAATCTATCCTTTTTGATTGGTTGGTATAAACAAAAAAAGCAGAACACATACACATGCTTGCGTGCACACACATACACATATATACTCCCTATTATGTGAAAAATGAAAATATATAATGTTGGGATTAGAAATCACTGCAGCTTATGCTTAAGAACTCAAAGGCCATTGATTTGCCCCTGAAAAATATTTTCCCTTGTCCTTATTCTCTAAATGCCCAACCACCAAAATAAAATTAGGGAAAGAAAAAAAAAAGGGCTTTAACTGTACATTTCAAGTCAGTTTCTTGTTAACAAAAAAGGGTAGCATTTTCTTCACTTTGGCCATTGTTAAAGATGCAGGCATAGATCCGGGAATGTTAGACTAGCATGTTTAAAAAAAATGCAACATTAACAGAGCATATATTTTTCAAAAAAGACCAAAACACTAACAAATACAAGTCAATGCACATATTTTAAACTAGTGTAATTTTATCTACATTGGAGTAAATGTTATTCTGTGTACCAGACATTGCAATACTGTTCATTTCCCTTTCATCATGCAAACATGCCACTTTTGTCATTAAAAAAAAAACCTTTATTGGGTCATATTCACAATGCCCTCCCACCCAAATTAAATGAAAAACTAAAAACAGAAATAATAAATCCCAGTAAGAGCCCCTCAAGACTTCATAAACTATGTATATAAAGCTGCTAGTTAATACGTTAAAGGCAGAATTTTCAGATTTGTATAAAAAATTCTATAATTTAGATAGATGTTTTCCTTACCCCATTATAAATCTTTGCCACACAATGTGAAGTTATGCTATTCTGAAATTTCTACCAACTGGACAAAAACAAAAGCAAGGAACCATGAAAAAATTCTGTATGTTCATTATGGCCTGAGAACACACACATTTTTGAGTAAATAAAGGGTAACTATGAGAACCTGACATTTCTCTGTAGCTCACCTCTTGTGCCTAGCCTCTATGTATAATTTTAAATGAAAGTCAATAACATCTTAACAGCAGAAGTCTTGTCTATCTCCCTCTTCTTCCTTTCTAACTAATCGTACTCATTTTTGTCTCATCTTCCTGAGCATATTCCATGAACAGCATTGCAAGTTGGTTAAAAATAATAAAGAAAAAAAAGAAAAAGAAAGTTTTACAAGGGTTTTGTTGGTTAATTATTTACCAGTGGAGTCACTCCACCAGGAGTTCAATTTCATTGGCTAGCAGCTGGTTCATGTTGAATAGGCCCCCTGGGAGCTTGGTGAGCAGTTCTCGCTCGGTGCTTTCAGGGTCGCTGTCAACAGAGCTGGAACTTGCGCTCATGTTGTCAACAGCAGTGCTGGCTGGGGCACCCAGCTCCGGCTCACTAGTCTCACTGGCCGTGGACACCACAGAGAGCAGGGACATACGCCGGGTGAGCCGGCCAGAGGGCAGAAGGGAGGCGGCATAGTCCGCTATGATACCAGCTACATCTAGATTACAAGCCTTATCAAAGGCGATGAAACCTACATTTGCATTGGCCTCGCAGACACAGAAGGAGCCGTCATCTTTCATCAACAGGTCAATGCCACACACATCCATCCCCAGGATATTAGACACCTGGATAGCTAGCTGCTTCCCTTGTTCACTCAATGAGCACATCATCCCCACACCACCTGGCAAAAAAGAAACAAAATAAGAAGTTACCAAAATGATAAATTTCTAGAATAAAACTAAAGTTGGCCTCTAAGGCTAACCCTTTCTTATAAATCAGTAGTGAAGACAAAGGTGCTATTCTAGTGTAAAGCTGAGCTTTGGCAGGCATGGTTTCCACCACTGAACCACCCATGCTAAATTTGGGACTTCAAAGTCTAAGTTTCCTTCATTAGGAGATCACCTTTCAAGCCAGTTTCTCAGAGAATTCATGAGCTTGTACTTTTTCAATATGCTATTTATTCTGAAAAAGACATTTAATTTTCACTGAAGCCTACCTTACTTGAAATAATACAGACCAAATAGAAGGAACTTTGCATAAATACAATTATGACAAAAATAAGAGATGCAAAATATGGATAGAGAATAGGATAGGGGAGAATCTGGGAACAAGGGGACCTGAGCATGGCTCTCTTCTTCTATGGTCCCCACTCCCGTCTATCTGCCATTCCTCAGACAAAAGGACTCTGGGGGGCTTAAGGGAGATGACTGAATGTAGGCAGTCTTGAGATTTGCTGGTATCTGAGGGAATGGAATTAGAACTAGACCTCAATTGGAGACTAGCTTCAGGAAGCTCTAAAGATAGTCCAGATAAGGACTGATAAGTCCAGATAAGGACTGGAAAGTAAAGAATTTTGAGGCGAGCTTGGCTTGAGGAGCTCTGTGTATCTAGAGGAAGAAAACTGACATCAGCATTATATGAATATGACTAATGTCTCTGACTCCAAAGAGACCAAAAAGTAACTGCATAGGTGAGCTGAGTCCTCCCTACTACTGAAGCTGGAAGAGGAGGGAGGAGGAGTCCAGGAAACAGGAAGGCTTCTTTTAAGTAACTCAGTAGGAGTCTGGCACACTAGCCCATGAATTAAATGACTGCTTCTCAGCATCTGTAGGACTGATGCTATCTGGCATATTCCAAATAACCAGAGCAGAGCCATGATGTGACATCACCACAGACGTAACAAGTCATTTACAACTTGAAAGAAATAACAGCATTTTAAGGAGGTTCAAGGTCAGCACAAAAAGACTTTCCAAAGCTGAAACAAAAGTGCAATTACCCAATGGAAAACTTTTAATAGAACTGAAGGAAAGTTCAGTCACTTTTGGGAGTCATAACTTGGAAAACAAGTGTAAGAAATATTTCAAAACATATACAAAAAAACCTGAAGTAAAACCACAAAAGAAAGATAAATATGGAGGACTGACTTCAAAAAAAACTACTCCAGAAGGACAGAAGCAAAATGAAAGAGGAGAGGTAATAACTAAAAAAGAGATTTGCCAGAGACTAAAAAAACTGAGCTGGCTGATAGAAACAGTTTACTAAAATCCAGGTTGGACTAATTGAGAAAAGACACATATCTAAAAATACCCTGAAAAATATCTCAGTTAAAAAAATAAAATAAAAGGCAAGACTTACAAAGAATAAATCACCTACCAAAAAATACATTAAAGTACATTTGGACATTCAATTGCAACAATGTAACCTATAGAGCAGAACTGAAGCTTGAGTCTTAAAATGTAAAAATCCAATCTAGCCAATACATTATTCTCCATTCAGAAAGAAAGATATATGAGGATACCTATCCCTCACACACCCCCATTTTGAGAAAATGATCAAGAAAAAATACTAACAAAACAGCAAATGACTAAGAAGAGGGACCTCAATACATGGAAAGATGAAGATGAGGAGTAAACAGTGGTAATGATTCTTGCCATACAGGTATAATAAACTCTAAATGGAGTTAGAAAGACTACCTAGGAATAGATCATCTGAGTGTTATTTAAGAATTCCTGAAACATAAGTGAAATTCCAATATAGATTGGGACTAAAACTACTAAATGATTTCAGCAAAACACTATAACATAAAGTCTGTGAAAGCAGGGATTTTTGTCTGTTTTGTTCACTGCTATATAACAAAATACTGCTACAACAGTTAGTACTGTATATGGGAGAATACTCATCATAAAAAGACCTCTCTGGGGATGGAATAATGAGGGTACTCAATTCTGGAGAACAAGATAAAGGGCTCTTGCTCTATCAGATATCTAGGCATAACACCAGAGGAATTAAGATTGATATTCACACAGGGAAAAAATAGTACAACAGACAAGAGGGCCCTTAAACAAACCAATACATACATAGAAATTCAATACATTAAAAAGATAGCTTCACAATAAAATTAGAAATACCATTTTAAAAAAGGTGGCATTACAAATCTGTAATAAATAGACTATTTATTAAACACTGCTGGAACAACCAAATATGCATTTGGAAAATAGGAAAAGGGAACAGGGAAGGATCAAGGATAACTCTAAGGATATTGGTCTAAACTGGAAAGGTAGAACTGCCATTAAATGAGAAGGGCAAAACTATGGGTTGGAGCACATTGGGAGGGGGAGTTAGATCAGCAGTTCATTTTTAGACATGTTAAACTAAAATGTCTATTGGACATCGACATGGAGATCTTGAGTAGGCAGTTATTTACATGTGCATGGAGTTCATGGAGAAAGCCTAAACTGGAGAGATAAATCTGAAAATAACATATAGATAGTATTTAAAGCCATGAGCTAGGTAAAATTACTAAGAAAGTGAAATAACAGAGAAGAAAAAACCCAGGCTAAGCTCTGAGGCACTGCAACAACAAGGGATCTCAGAAAACACCCATTTACATTAAACCAAAATCAGCAATCTTTTTTGGACTAATGGATAAAGTGAGTTACAATACATCTACCTTAAATGAACTCCAATTATACACAAAATAAGTATATCAACAAAGAGAGAATCTTTAGTAAGACATTTCATACACATGTGAATTGAGCTTGGGTGAAAGTAAATTCATAATTCAGAGAAATCCAATTTCATTACTTAAAAAAACCCTCAAAAGTATATTAATTATATTGATAAGTCTATCACATTTACATGTGAAAGATAGTGTTTTTTTAACTTATTGAGTAAAAACCTGTAGCTATATACAAATACTCATTGGACAAGTTGCAATATTACCTAATATACTAGAAAAACACCTGAATCCTTTTTACCTAGTGAACAGTTGCTTTGCATCCTCCCATCTGTGGAACAACGTAACATGGTGCCAACCACACGGCCTCCCACAACAATGACACGCACATCCCGTCCATGAGACTCCTTCACATACTTCTGGAACAGGTATGGAGCTTCGTGGCGAATAAGATGGCTCAGATCCGCCAAATGGTGCTTATCTCGAGCTAAGAAAACAGCTTTGCCTGTGATTGAAAGAGAATAAAAAGTATGTGTAAGTCATCAATATGTGGGTAAGCTGCTATCTATTGCCTCCACCTTCTTGTGTCCCAATCTGCTCTTTCAGATTCAACCACTTTTTAACCAAAGTAATATAGTTAAGACTGTATGTAAAAAAGTTAAAGTCGCCATCACTGAGTCTCTCAATCTCCAAACTCTTACAGTAATATAGAATTAATTTCAGTTTATGTTGTGAGGTAGGGATCTAAAATTTGTACACCTCCAGATTAGCCAGTAATACCAGACTTGCTTGTTAGCAAACATTTCCCTCTAAGTTAAAACATATCATTAATTTGAACAATATATTAATAAACGTCATTTCTGTGGAGGGGTGGGCAGAGTAGGTTCACAGTTGTTCATATGGAAAAAGACATTCAGGTTATGATTATTACAAGAGCTTTATTAACTCATATTTCATGTACTTACAACTGTAAACCTACTTTTGCCCACCCTGTATAGTAAAAACAGCAGTACATCATCGCATACCTAAGCCTTATTTCTAAATTCTCTAGTCTGTTCCATTGCTTTATTTATAAACCTTTGCGCCAACAGAAATGGCTGTTTTTAATAGTTATAAATCCTTTGACATTCTTTCCATCAAGAAGAGGGGGAATCTAGGTCCCATGCCTTTGAATCAAGGAAGGCTTATGATTATTTCAACCAACAGAATACAGAAGTGATTCTATGTGACTTCTGAAGCTAGGTCAAGAAAGCTTATGCTGCTTCTGTGGTCATCGGAGCACTCACTGTAGAAGCCCTGACACTTTCTGGCTCCCATACTGGTAAAGCCAAATATAAGCAATGCAGTGGGGAGTCCCAGTTGACCCTGATACAGCCATCCCCGTCACAACACTAAACCCTGTGAAATACTTGGATTTTGTGGAGCATCTTATGCCTTAAGAAATCGTTCCTTAATCTGAAGTCAGTTAAAAACTTTCATACACTGTCTTCTAAAGCTGTATATTTTTGCCTTATACTTAAGTTTTTGAACTATACAAATTGGGAGAGGGAATGATTGGAGTCAGTGATATAAGGTTCTTGCGTTGCTGAAAAGGTATTTATTAACTTGGGACTCAGTCTAAATTAAGTATGCATCTTAAAATTTCTAGTATAATCACTAAACGGAAGAAATAGCTTCTAGCCAAACTGAACAACTCACAGCAGCATTCTGTAAGTTTAAGGTACCATGCACCAACTTCCCTCTAATTTTTCTTTAGAAGCCCTGCTCCAAAACCTATAAATTTCAATTGACAAGCCTACTGTTTAATCAATAACCATGAGGAAATACAAAGCAGTAATTGCTTTGATCTGATTAAGAAAAAAATCTATATTGTATAATTACCCATATTAATTCTTAAAAGTAAATTTCAAAATTATATACCATAGCAACACAGCAACAACTCATACACACCTCGATGACCCCGTGTATTCTTCACTACCATCGGGAACTCCAGTACTTCTGCTTCATCAATCATTTTAGAAAAATTTTCATGGCCACCTGGTTTGAGCAAAAAAGAAATTTAAAAACAGCAGCAACAAAGGTGGTTTGTGACAGATTTTATCTACACTAATGTCAGCAACGAAAGGGCAGTAGGAGATTAAGAAACTGATGATTAAATTTTGTTTTTATTAGAGAAAGTAATAATAAAAATTGAAAAAACAGTTAAGTATCAGTTTAAAACAGGGTGTCAAACTCATTTTCACTGGGGGCCACATCAGCCTTACAGTTACTGAAATAATTTTAGGACTGTATAAATGTAACTACTCCTTAACTGTTAAGGAGTTGAAATTACATTCGGCTCTTTGAAGGCAACCGTGAGGCTGATGTGACCCCTGGTGAAAATGAGTTTTGACACCCCTGGTTTAAAACAACCATGCCTTTTAAAATGGAAAAAAGCAATCTTAAACTACAAATATTCTAATATCCAACCTAAAGAAATTAAGTATACTTCAGCTAAAACAATGTTTCCTAATTCTGTACCATTTTTCATACTTTTATCCCTTCTTTTTCCACTCTAAAATTAATAGAAGCCTCAAGATCTACTTTAGTATATTCAACTCCCTGTTTAGATTAAGAAACAAAATGATGAGTCAATTGGGAAGACTCATCCAAGGTTGAAGATGCTGCACGCATGTATACACATTCTCTAACACACGAATTAATTTTCTTATCTCTATTATTAACCAGAGTTCCTTCTACACTGAGCTACTCAGTACCAGTGTGCTAAGTCTTGCTTCTTACTGTTTTTACTGCCTAGGGACACATGATACAGCAGCAAGGTTAGTGCAAAAAAAATGGATTGTAGTGGTAAAAAAATATTAACCCAATGATATAGAAAAACTAAACCAGGACAGAGTTCATAAACCAATATCATAAATTTGCAGCTTACAGAAATTAAGATGATCTTAATTTGAACCTTCAATATCAGAGCACAGGTAATATTTAATTTGGTTAACCCTTTCCTCCTTTCCATTTTCTTAAAACCAGAACTACAGAGCCATGAAATAAGCATCAGGAAAACAGAATTCTCTAACTATTCATATTGTCTCTTCTTGCACAATTCCTAAAAAGAGCAGCTGTCTCACATACCATACAAACTTGAAGATTTCCCTTCTTTCTTTAAAATATTTTTAAAAAGAAGACAGGGATTACTTTTTACAGCCCGATTAACCCTCCAAGCATTCTACTGAACATTTATTCGGAGAATACCTTTATGAAAAACTACACTGATTTATATAGTACATCTTATCCTTTCAAAACTAGAAACCTTAAAAGACAGAAAATCTATAAACGCTGTTTATAGCAGTGCTACTCACAGTGTGCTCTAGTAACCTGTGCCCATTTCTGACTTCTTTGCTTCTGATAGGTAAACAGATAAATATAACAAGAGTAAGCACTAGCAGCTTTTACAGCAATTTGGCATTGCTGTGATATTTTCATTGTGCTTAATAAGAATATTGATACACAGCAGATTGGTCTTAAAAAAAGATCCTTCACCACAGATAAAGCATACCTAGTATACTGCCATTTTCTTAATAAAAATATATTTATGAAGAATTATCATGAAAATGGCAATACACATTAACAGAAATTAAAAGAGGTATCATCAAGTTCTATTATTTTTTACCACAAGGGCTGGCACACTAGGGCCTGTGGGACAGATTTGGCCCACTGCCTTTTTTTGTAATAAAGTTTTATTGGAACACAGCTATACTCATTTGTTCAAGCATGTTCTATAGCAACTTTCACACTACAACAGCATTACTGATTGTCATAAGAAAGAATGTAGAGCCTGGAAAATCTAAAAATTTACTATTTGACCCTTTATAGGAAAAGCTTGCTAAGTTTGTTCTACTCATAGCATGGAACCAATCTTAAGACATGACTCACAATTCTGCCCAGTTTGTTAATACACAAAGTTACTTCTATAAGAAGTGCGTTCATGTTCACAAATTTCCTTATATCACACAACCCTATCAGTTTAGTATGGCATTCAATATTATCAGTTTTCTAACACTTAGGCTACAAATTCATATAAGTGAACAAACCATAAGAGAAAGTATCTGGCAGAGGAACACCATGGCCAGCCAACTCTTGAAACGTCCAGAACTTATTCACACAGTTCAGGATGGCTTGAGGTCGGTTCATCAACCGGCATCCCATCTTCTCTAGGTGGCGCAAAACAGTGATGTCGCTATCACTTTGTACCCAAGGGGTTGGTACTCTCACTACCACCACCTGGGGGTAGGCAGTAATTAGTTCTCCATTGATCCTAAGACCTGAAACATGCAAAGGCGAAACCAAAACCATTAAAATTAAACATATAATAAAAGAGAGGAACAGAAATATACCATAGCTTCAGTCACAAAATTAAACATACTAAGTTATTAACATTTCATTGAGACAAAGAGACATCCCTCCTTAAATTGTATTTCTTTGTAAAAAGAAAGAAAATTTAATAAGAAAAACTTCTATACTGGTTAAATAAATAATTGTACATATCATTATAAAGAAATACAACACAGCCATTAAAATGAATGTCATAACCAGAAATGGAAAAATGTTCAGATGTTGAATTTAAAAAAAAAAGCTAAATCTGGGAATGATTTTATCTATTTCCATATGCATAGAAAATATATGAAAGGATAAATGATATGTTTTTCTCCGAGTATGAGTAGATGGCGAAGCAGGAAGCAGAAGACAGAACAGGGAACTTTAACACTGTGCTCCATGTAATTCTCTGTATTATATTCTTTTTAAAGTGAGCACATATGCTTTTATAATAAAAAATATTTTAAAGAGAGAAGTTTCTTAAATTTTATCTAATCTACTCTATTTAAAGAAGTCCCAAATTTAAAAAAAAAGAACTATTTTCACTTTTTAAAGGTTTTGTTTATTTATTTTTACAGAGGGAAAAGGAGGGAGAAAAAGAGGGGGGAAAACAGCAATATGTAGTTGCCTCTCATGTGGCACCCACTGCAGACCTGGCCCACAACCCAGGCATGTGCTGTAGTTGGGAATTGAACCAGCGCCCTTAGGTTTACCACCCATACTCAATCCACTGAGCTACACCAGCCAGGGCCAAACTATTTTCATTTTAAAATAGTTCATTTATTTGTTTATACTTTTGAAACACAAAAATACAGCAGTGGGCAAAAATAACTTTACAGTTGCTAGTATACAAAATGTTTATTGTGTATTTATTAATTATGGTGCTATTTTCCAAATAAAACCCTCTAAATCTACTTTTGCCCACCCTTGTGTATAACATATTCACTTCCCACCAACATTATAGGTACTTCATGTTAATGGTATGTATTTTCCCCACTGTTAATCTTAGCATAGAATAATATATAATTTTTAGAATAAAGTGTTTATATTATTCTATGTCACTTTCTCTCATTACTTAAAATTATACCATATCTTTCTATGTCAGTGCATATATAGCTCTATTTCCTTTTTTAGGGGGCTGAATGGAATTATATTTTATAAATATGCCATATGATCCATCCAACAGCTAGTAAGTAATTACTATGCATCAGATGCTTTTCTAAAAATTGGGAATAGAGCTCCGGCTGGTGTGGCTAAGTAGACTGAGCGATGGCCTGAGAACCTGCAAATCAAAATGTCTCTGGTTTGATTCCCGGTCATAGCACATGCCTGGGTTGCGGGCCAGGTCCCTAGTTGGGAGCGAGCAAGAAGCAACTGATCAATGTATCTCTCACACATAGATGAGAATTTCTCTCTTTATCCCTCCCCTCCCTATCTCTAAAAATAAGTAAAATCTTTTAAAAATTCGGAATAGACTGGTAAATAAGGCAGACAAGGTACTTACTGTCCTGTGGAGGAGAAACTATTCTATAACATGACAGCTGTCTGTCAGAAACCTGTGCTAGATCCAACCAAGAACAGAGACTGTTCCCATAACCACCCTCCCCCACAGATTATCCAACCTTTCCCCTGTGCCCCAGGCATGCTGGTTCCTGCAACAGACCCTTGCCCTCCCCAGGTCAAGTATATAAGGCATTTCCCCTTATCTGAGGCAGGTCACACCCCAGTACCCCTATCCATCCTGCCCTGTCCTATATAACCCTACAGTGCCTGCTATGACATGCTTCATATAGGTAAGTTCCCTTAATAAACTCAGTGTAATACTATAGTTGTCAGTCTCTCTCTTCAGTTGCTAGGTCCTGAGAATTTTTATGTTAACAGGTAGTTGCACTCAAGAAGCATTCATTCTAGTGGGAGAAACTCAAGTATTCATTTTTATGGTATTAGCTTTTAAACATGGTAGAAATTCTAATACAGGAGAAATTGGTGAAAGGTAACATCTGAGTTAGAGCATAAGCCTTGAGATATGTGTTTGTTTAAAGCAAAGAGAAATGACACTTCAAAAGTATGGGCACAGCAGCAGTCATAGGGCAAAAAGAGCAGTAAGAGCAATGGCTGCCTCAAATTGTAACTTATATTTTGTATAATGTATAAAAAGATAAGGTTGGTCAGGTTAAGGTGAAGGTGCCAAATGTGTGAAGCCACAAACCTTTAAGATATAATTGACATACAATGTATTGGTTTTAGGTGTACAACATAATGATTCAATATTTGTATACACTGTGAAATTATCACCACAATACATTTAGTTGACATCTGGCACCTCACATAGTTAACAACTTTTTTCTTTTGATGAGAACTTTTAAGATTTATTCTCTTGGCAACTTTTAAATATACAATACACTACTACTGTTAACTACAGTAACCATGCTATACATTTCATCCACAGGACCTATTTATCTTCTAACTGGAAGTCTGTATCTCAAAAGTTCGCCCATTGCCCCCACACCATCCCATCCCATCCCATCCCCCCATCACCTGCCTCTGGCCACCATCAAACTGTTCTCTGTATCACGGACTTTGGTTCTGCATATTAGTGAGATCACACAATATTTGTCTTTCTCTATATGACTCTTGAAGTCTATCCATGGTGTCACAAACGGCAGGATTTCCTTCTTTTCTATGGCTAGATAATATTCCATTATATATACACACCACATGTTCTTTATCTACCCACCCATTTAAACTTAGTTTATTTCCATGTCTTAGCTATTGTAAATAATGCTGCAATGGGGGTGCAGACATATCTTCAAAGTAGTGATTTAATTTCCTTCAGGTAAATACTCAGAAGTATGACAGTCTGGTCTGACCTTGCACAGAGGCACCCAGCCAGCAAGACAGGATATCGGAACAAACAGACCAGGGTGGGACAGCACCCAAGTAATCAGTCAGGGATAGGATAGTTCCAGAAACTCGAGAGGTGTGGGATAGAAACACCCAAGAAGAGAAGGAAGAAAGTAGAAGAGTTCAAAGTAACCAATTACAAGACTACTTTCCCACAGTGCAAGGGTGGTTGGGGGCGGGGGGGGGGGGGGGAGTAGGGTGTTTCTTTAAAAGCCCTGCACAGAACAACCCTGATGGGAACTGGTCTGAGCTGAGAACTGGCCTCAGCTCGACTGCTTTCCCTCCCTTGCTCCGGAGGGACCCCTTGCTTTGCTATTAACTCTGTCTTCTCATGGTTCCTCCATGGCTCTGATCTCACAAAGTGGAGTTGCTCCACAAATTCTGAGCTGAAGACTTTACATAACTGTTCTGATTAAGATAACTGAGGGTGTGTGCTGAATACTGTCTGTTGATATTTTATACCGTCCTATGGGAAGTGTTCCTAGCCCCTGCCATACAGGGGCCCCCTTGCCAGCAGAATTCCATGCTGACAATCCATCAACCAGAGATAATTATATAACATTTTAAAGGTGAAAGAGAAGTAGAAGTCATTTTTCTCCAGAGGCAGCTATAGGTAGATACAAGGTCATGAGCAGATGTGAGGTTCTACTAGTGGCTTCAGGCTTCTCACAATCATTCACTGTGCTGCCGCCACTACAGGCATCTTAAGATCAGCAGCAGCAGACTTCTGCAATCCTACACTTACTCTCATTTCTTAGGCTTCAGCACTGAACTGCCTCAATAGTCACTCAAAAAAAAAATCTAAAGAATATTTTTTTAATAGGAAAAAATCCAAGTGAACAGACTGGAAGAGTGAAAAGTCTGATACTAAGACATAAAGAATGGGAAAGTTGAAAAGGGAAGCCAGTTTAGGACAGAAGATGATGACTTTGGATCAAAATATAAAAGACTTTGGTGGTAACTCGAGGACATCAAAGTAGAACTATTACATATATGTGTATATAATTCATATTGGTAGTTTTGAGTGTGTTTATTTAGTTGTGGGAATCAGCCCAAGATGTAATAGCTAAAGATATCAGGATATATATAGGCTGAAAAACTAAAGGAATTAACAGAGAAATCTAGAACCAAGATTTTGTGAATCTCATTAACGAAACAAAAACCTGAGGAAAAAAGTAGTCAAAAAACTAGGGAATTCTAGTGCTGAGTACTATTGGGAAAGGTAAGAGAAGTCAGGGGAGAATGATCAATCTCATTAAATAAAACAGAGGTAACAAAAAGGTTGTTTTAAGAAAGGCTTGAGTGATCAGGAAAAGAGATACTATCAACTGTCAAGAAAAAATTTCAACCATTACATTATTTTCTCATTTTCCTAAATTGGAGACAGCTCTTGCTTTTTAAAAGAAGTGGGATAAAAGAAAGCAATGGAACTATTCCAGACTTGGGCCATACCACCAGTGAGGACCACTTATCTGCTGCACCAGGAAACAGGAACATGGGAGTACTTTATACAAAGTGCATTCAGATCTGCACTCTGTACTATTGAGGTACTACTGAGGATGGAAAGAAATCCAATGCTACCAGCAACAGAAACACATGCTTTGTTATTCTAGGCCAACAGAAGATGATCCAAGGCTGGAAAGAAGAGCGGGTACAGAAGAATGTGAGCCAAAACAAGCAAAGTGACAACTCTTTTGACTGTACTGATCTCTTGAGCACTCTTAGCAAATGCCACTGTTTATGAATCCATTCTTATAAGCATCTACCTTTCCCATCTACTTAGATTTCTAACAAGACATATTTTGTATTTCCTATCAAAATATCCTTCTTTAATATACACAGTAACCCTGTTCCCCTCCGATTTGTTTCCAAGTCTTATCTAGCTATTAATCCTAAGCAGAGATAGAATTTTTTTCTTAAAAGTTAAGTTCTTTTGGGAATGATGAAGTACAGGAGACCATTCTGCATGTCGTGGGCCCAGCTCCCACAGGCCCCATGCTCACAGATAGGTTCTCCCATGGGGAATCAGGCCTGTAATGTACCT